TCCGCAGAGCAGCAGCGGCATCCCAAAACTGATGTTATAAACTACAGTGTGGACTGGATCGAATACTATTCTAGCTTTAAAAATAACAGTGAAAATAAAAAATGGATTTTTTTTTTAGGACTTCTTGGAGTAATAACTGCTCTAGTTTGTCCCACGGTCAGCTACAGTTGCGCTTGGCATCTCTCTGACAAGAGAACCTTAAACCAACATTGCAGCTAAACACTTCATATTTGTGAAGTCAAAGGCTTACTGTTATCTCCTTCACTTCTTATTTAAATTATTGGCCTATACCTTTGCTATGTCTACCATAGCTTCAACTTTAAATTGCATCTCCTTATGTTACATTACCCATGATTGGTATATATTCTCCCCAAGTTCTGGAGCAACAAGCTACTTTAGATTACCCTCTAACTATCTGCAGGCGATACTCATAGATGTTGATGCATTCTTAGGTCCATTTGGGGTTGAATGTGAACTCTGTCTAAAGTGGTAAATCAGAGCTGTGTATTAACACTTTAAGTCAGGCTACTTATTTAGATCCCAGAAGGCAAGCCCAGAAGATGAGTTTTTGAATATCTAAGGACTTGGTAAACTATGACCCGAATCCAAACCTTGTAAGGATTAAGCCTAACTTTACTGCCACGTTCATGACATCGATTTACTTTTACTGCACAGATCTTCAAATATAGGTCAAATACACATTTCAATAGAATTTTTCAGTGCCTTAGCATTCAGTCTTCCAGATTCCTCAAGCTTAGTAGTTATCAGTAGCATTCTTCATAAACATTCATGACTGCGCCATGACGGGTATACCAGACTAACATCTATGAATGAGGGGTCTACATCTTTAGAGAGTATCATACTTGAAATGCATTTATCATCATGCCTACACAATGAAAAGACATATGATCACCACCCGCCTGGTTGAACTGGTTAAATTCTTGTATAGACATTTAATCAGCCATTTTTCAAGAAAAGTACCCATGCAGATTTACAACAGTCTGAGAAAACAAGGCTGTACTGCTGTGCCCAGGAAGGGTTTTGCTAAGCAGCACCTCCAGAGAAGCTTCGGTGTTGACCTGTAACGCATGGCTTTCATGCACTGACAAGTCAACTTGGAACTTAAAACTTACCCTTAAAGCCAGATTCTATCAGGGAGCACAATACAAAACTAATCTCACCACAAGATTTAGATAAGCGTGCCACTCACTACTTACCACAACAGAATCATTGTGAGTTAGATCAACGACTACAGGATCAGAAGATTCACATGTGAGATCTACTACTTCTTCACCAGCTTCAAAACACAACGTTAGAATCAAGATCAGAGGTCGCAGACAAACAAAATTGCCTGCCTGCCACTACGTAGCAGGCTGAGGTACGAGTCAACCTTGCCCTATCCCTTCTCTCTTCAGGAACGTGTGCAACAGTTCACTCAAGCTTTGCCCTCAACAGTCCAGGTAGAGCAGCAGCACCCCTGTCTTCTGCAAGTTGCCACGCAAGAGGAACAGCAGCTGAGCTCCTCATACAGCTTTGTTGTATGACAACAGCTTGTGGGAGGTACACAGCAACAGATGATTCAACTAACACAGGAGAATGTTTATCACCCAGAATAAAACGCGAATCATAGAGGAAATAATACTTTTACAGCGCCATGCTGTAAATGTTCCCTTGAGGGACGCGGCACGACTAGCGACAAACTTTTAATTATCTTCTTAAAACTTAGGAGCTCCCAGACTTAGTTTGCCGTATCTGTAGTCGCAGCTGCAGTACCTCCCAGCTCATCAGACTGGACATTCAGATGTTTGAGCAGCACTGGAGTACCTTTCTTACACAGCTCATCTATCACTAGTGGTGAAGGCCTCGCACCTCAGTAACAAACTAGAACAGCTGTCAGCAGGCTCCTTGTTTATCGATGCCATACTAGACACTTTCTAAAATCAGGCTTCCCTTCCTCCCCAGTAAAGGCCCTAGAAACTGGCAAAAATGCACGGTAAGTGGGACCCCAACCCTCCAGAAGCAGTTTACGTTCTTACCAGGTTAAAAAGAAACCTTACCACTTTCTTCAAGCTCTATTGGCTCTGCTTCTGAAGCCATTTCTGCGGTAGAAGCCATCAGCCTGTTTCGTTTCCGAACTCGCCTGGAATTAACTGCTCCTCCACGGCGCTTTCGTTGAGCCTATGAGAGGACAAAGCCTTGGCATTTTCTTTAGCAGTAACATTAACGTGGCCCTCATCTTGGCGGCACCAATGAAAGCACACGAGGAGACACAAAACACTCCCCTGAAAGGCTGTAATACCCAAAGAATGGGGGTATGGGTCATTCCTACCTGAATGCATCGCAGCAAGGAAGAGACATCACCCCAGATCTCCTACTCTTTGGGTCACAAAGGAAAAACGTATCGTGACGGTTTGCAAGGGAGAAGACTAGTTCACAATTACGTCAGGTGTTCGCTTCCAGCCAACCACTGGAATCGGTCTGACCTAAGGTTTTTGCTCGCCTTGTAAGCATTTCTGAACTATACTAGCACCTAGAGAGATTGAAAATCTTAAGTCTCACAGAACAGGAAGTTACATGACGTTTGAATATGCTTATGTTCCAATGTGTTTACTACAAACTCTTAAAATCATTTCTAGAAGTACCATAAAACACACGTTTTAAGAATCAGGTTTGCACTGAGCAGTAAAATACTTACTGTGCTCATAGTGTTTCTTGATCTCAATCCACAGAGAAAGCAAGAGGTACAAATACCATAAAATTAATTGCAAGGAAGCTACAACTATCAAATCCTTATATTCCTTTAGGTCGTACACTGTCAAAAGTCCAGATTTCTCAGTGTCCGAGACCGACGTTCGTCCAAACCTGCAGGAAAAGAAGAGAGAAGATGACCTATCTGTAGTGCTCGTTCGCTTAAATACACCCACTCCAAGATTCCCATTCCCGAGTCACCAGCTTCTATCCCA